CTTTTTTTCATGGAAAATCTTGTCAATGATACTGTTTGTGTCAAGGGATTGTAGGAGGCCAGATTCAATGCATAATAATGAAAGTGAGTTTAATGTGGTTTGTCCCATGGTAGACCTCAGGTGATTTTTCACCCGAGATAGAGTAGAGAAAGACCTCTTCTTCACAATTTGTAATGGGGATGGTAAGGACAATTCTTACCAAGATACTGATGTTTGGAAAGGCAGTTGTCAAAATACCATCTTTGGACCTCAGCAAAGTGGAGATGTTTGTCACTGACCTGTCAGATTCAGAAGGCAAAATGTCTTTAAATTGCAAAAACTCCTCTAGAACAGATGCTTCCAGGTCACTGGAATAGGTACTGACAACCAATTCCAGTTGGGCTTTGAGATCATCATATTTCATACTGTCATACTCCGTTAAGAAGCTAAACAGCTTCTTTATTTCTGAGTAGGCATTCACTCTGTGCTCTAATTCATTCCTAAGGCAATCTAATATGGTGTAGAAATTGTCCACCTTGAACTTCACACGTGGATCAAGTTCAGTTTCAGTGCCAACTGATTCATCAAAGAAATGTTTTCTCTTTTTTGTTCTTTTTGTTGTCTCTGAGAGATATGAAGTCTTTCCACTACCTACAGCACCATACTTCTCCAGATGCTGGGCAAGAAAAGGGTGTAGTGGACGTCTCCCCTACAACTGCGTATCCGCATTCCAGTGCGACAGTATCCTAGCAACCAGCCACCTGCTACGTCTTCCCTAGCAACGGAGTCGAGAAACCGGCGGGTTTACTTCCGGCTGCTGTGTATATAAGCTCTGTCTCTCCACTAAGATTCATTCTGGCCTCGGTTCCTGAACACGCAACACCTCCTCCTCCGCCGCTGCCTGGTGGCCCTCGCTTCTCCTCCGCCTGCCTGGCGGTCCTCGCTCCCGCCGGCGAGCATGGCGACCCACCAGCTGTCCTTCTCTGAGCGTCCTCACCAACCAGCTCTCTTATTCTACTCTACGTTCCTGAATACGCAACACCTCCTCCAAGCAAGCTCCGCGCTGTCCCGTTCTCATTCAACCAGGAGGCCAGCAACAGGCAACATCTTCTCTAACGAAGCTCCTGCACATCTACCTCCTTCAACACGCTACTTACCGAACGTGTCTACTGAGCAGTTCCTCACCACACGGCATCTCCAGCACCAGACTGTCTACCATATAACTTATATTATATAAGAAAACCACCACCTTAGAGTTTCCATCCATCCTGAGTGCTAGACAACATAATATCACGAAACCCTACAAGGGTCAAATTTTGCCAGGAGTTCCAGTACTCCAAGGTAATTCCCATTGTTGCTGGAGCCTATTCTTTCATCACTACCTCTGAGAGGAAGACCTCTTGATGTTAAAAATTTTAGTGTTTCAACTATGCGCAATAGAACTTCTTTCCAGTATTTTCTCTCCAATTCTACTTGCAAAGCCAAAGTGGAATCAATTCGCCTTGCTGTAATTGCCGTCACACCCCAAGTAGTAACTGAGATTTTATGCTCTTTGCTACTTTCATGTTCAGCAACTCTACGCTGGCAGTTTTTCCAGTCGCTAAACCCACTAGTAAACAATGAGACTTGCTTGCTGAATAGCTTACATGGAACACAAATACATCTCCATTTTTTGGAGAATACACAAGCCATTCCCTTTTAACTTTTTCATCATTTGCCATTTGATGTGTAAACAAGAGGAAGGTTTAGTAAATACTCAATCAGTTTATCATCAATTGTCAGCCAGTCAGCTGGATCATTTGCTACACACAAATCAACACTGACAGCTTGTTCCACAGAATGTTTCTTATAAGTCAACCGAGATGAATCGGGTGAAGCTTCAGTCACAGGTGGTACTTCCATTGCTGTACCGTATATCACGGCCTATAAGACGAAATTTGAACATTAAAAAAATCTGCCCAAAGTTAGGGGGTCGTCTAAACCACCAAGTTTAAAAGTCTTACCTCTTAAATATTGTGGTTTAGTGTGTCAAGAGTGGTGATGAAAACATCGTAAGCCACTCACAAGGTCTTACCACTAATTATTTTATACTGAAACTTACGTTTGGCAAGCTGGATTCAAATTAAGATTACCGGTATATTAAAATAATAAAAATGTATTATAAACCTGTCTAACATACCGTAAAAGAGATTTATACCCCTATAATAAACACAGCTATCATCACACACCCCTCCCCACGCCCCCCCCCCCATTTGCCAGTGAGGAGCCGTGGAGGTGGTCAGTAATGCATACCGGTATCGGTATATTTACTCATAATAATATTTATCTCCTATAAATAATTGATTTAAATTTTATTTTTTTACAAAGAATATTCAGTAAATGAGTGCATTAATTCTTGAAACTATCGACAGTTAATTACAGACGCTCAAGTGACGTCACTAGTGTTTACACTACACCAGCTGGTAATATTTGATGCCATTACTTGAAGTGAATTGGCCTTATTTTAAGTAACTAACTATAAATAAATACAAAAATTAAAAAAAAAGATCAAAACTGAGAAATAATATACTGTATGTATGTTGTGTTGTCAAAGTAAGAGGAACAATTGTGTAAGTACGTAATATTTTTTCACTCAAATCCTAATGAAACACTACTGGAGAACATTCCTTTGTCGCAAAACAGTTTATAAATTAAAGAAAATAATTACAGTGTGTTTAATATATTACAGTATATTATAAATAAATAAATAAAACAAATAATTCGGTAAATCTATTTAAAGTAAATGGAAAATAAGCAAACATGTTATTTACCAAGACCCTTCCGTCTGGCTCAGGGTGAGATGTAGGGGAGATAAAGAAGGCTATTTATAGCCCATCAGAAGTGACCAGTACCCTAATGCACCATAAATAATTCATTGAACATTCATTTTTTGTACATAGTATATTCAGTATATATATATATATATATATATATATATATATATATATATATATATATATATATATATATATATATATATATATATATATATATATATATATATATATATATGTGTAATAAATGTATGTAGTAAGTACATACTGGTAACCTTTTTCACTCAAATCCTAATGAAACACCACAATTAGAATACGGTGGTTGCTGTTGAACCACATGTTGTATAAATAGTCACACCACCGAGACGAGGGAACACTCCCAACACGCTTCAGTGACGTCACTAGTGTTTACACTACACCAGCGGGTATAATTTGATGACATTACTTGAAGTGAATTGGCCTTATTTTAAAAAATCAAGGATGGTTGGTAAAGGACTACTGAGTCAGTGGGTAAGTGTCACATTTGGGGTACTGGTCTTATACAGCAAATAGAGCTCAAAAGCTACTTTTTAAATGGAAATTTGGGGGGGGCGTCTTATGCACCCCGCCGCCTTATAGGCCGTGATATACGGGTAGGTGAAAATTTACTTAATCTCTGTGACTGACTCAGCTGACCTCGCTTCGTCATCTGAATCATGAAAGTGAACATCTACTGTGTCATCCCCTGGGAGTTTACTGTCACTGGTACTTGGCTCTGAATCTCCTTTTGGTTTAAAAAATGTTGTCAGCTATGCAACTGATTGCAGTTGTGCAGCTTTGGCTGCTTTTAACTTTCTCTTTTGTGAGCCACTCAGATTTTTTCAGGGACGACATATTTATCTCATGAGAATCCCCAAGAATAATCTGTAAGCAAACAAATAGTGTAAGTCTATAAGAGATACCAATATCACAAAAAATAGACACAAAACCACACGAAATATAACACTAAAGTCCATTTAATGCAACATGTAAAATATCATTAATAAATAATGGGTGCCACGTACACAATATAAAATATCACCGAGCTGAGGCTGAGAAGATACTGACTGGCTGAGCGAGCTGTCAGCAAACCAACGGTAACCCTGACATGTACTGAACGTGAAACGATCCTGTCTTTCACACATCAAGGCGCTGAAGGCTTCTTGAACTTTATTCTCTTTCTCTCTCTCTCTCTCTCTCTCCAGTATATATGTATGTATAGATATATAGATCGATCGATGGTGGGACACAGACACGGACATTTAAAAAATGTACAATACAGTATATATATATTTTTTCATTATCTTATTTTATCTTATTTTCTTCATTTTACTATAGGGCCTAGTCTGTGGCCCACTGAGAACCACCCCGTGGCCCACCAGTTGAAGACCACTGCTGGCCTATACTTATTGTACAGGGGCCCCATACTCCAGGCCCTATACTTATTGTACAGGGGCCCTTATGGTTGTGAATATATTATATACGGTAATGAAATACTCGGTGTACACTTGAAACAAGGTTATACGCTGGCACGCTGCGCGACAAATTAGTTTCAGTGGGCCCTCAGATACCAGTGGGCCCTAGGCCAATGGCCTACTTGGCCTATTGGTAAATCCGGCCCTGTCTGTGGTCTATTATCTTTCCACCACTTATCAGGTTACTAACCATTCGGGCAGTTGGTCTGTTCATTGTTATTTTTTTACCTGTATTGTCCAGTATTTTTATCTGTATTGTCCAGTGTTTTGACCTGAATTGTCCAGTGTTTTGACAAGTATTGTCCAGTGTTAATACAGGTGGAAACTGTTGTACCCAGAGAAAACCTGCCATGTTTGGTCGTGTCGCTGGGTAACACTCATCTCAGTGTGTCCCAGGTTGGGGAATGAGCCCAGGCCACAGTATCTGAGAGACTAACTGCTAACAGTGTACCACCAACTCCCATTGATTAAAAAATTGTTGGGATTACCCGTGATTTTTGTAGCAGCTGCACTGTAGATTTTGTGTAACCTAACCTAGCCACCCAGTACAGTATGGCAGAAGAAACAGACTTTACAAGACTTGGAAAAAGAAATTAAATGTTCTACACAAAAATACATCTCAAGCCAACACTCACACCAATAATGTGATAAAAAGAGACAGCAGCCTGTACTGTACTGTACTGTACTGAAATAGGGTTATTAAAACACCAGTCCAAAAATTTTTACAAATTTTTATGGAAAAGAATTTAAAAATACAAAAAACTAATTAAAATATACATTTTAAATATAATTTGTCATTTTGAATTTTTTATACTGCTCCTAGAAAAAGAAAATACAGACTTTATAAATCTACAGCAACGTGGGTCAATGAAGCAATGAAAGGTGGCATAGATGAGTGAACGTCTGTCAGATGATTCACAACAATGGGATGTGGCAAAGTGCAGTCGCTAGTTGTCGCACTTGTCTCTATATGTATTACTGAAGAATGAGATTATGGGATGTAATATAAGTTCTGTGCATAGAGGAATGTTTGTGTGTGTATACCTGTGAGAGTAAAGGGAATGTGTGTGTGTGTTGACAAGTGTAATATACTGTATGTACTTATATACAGTATTTCATTTTTATACATTTCAAGTAGTACAAATGCATAAATGTAAAACTACATTTGAAGACGATTAATGAAAACCACAAAAACATAGTTAAATATGAATAATTGTACCATAGACAATAATATTCTGTGATAATAAAGATGGCATCAACACAGGCCGTATACACAGTCACCCACAAGAGGTCCCGTAACCTCTCCTCCTGTACTATGAACCCCGAAGCAGCACACACCGATGCATTATTCTGTCCACAATAAATGCTTCAGGTTCACGAGTCTGAATCTCAGGGTTCATGGTACAGGAGGAGAATGCGACACGACTTTCTGTGGGTGACTGTACTGTACATTATTTCAGAGTACAATAACATACAGTAATGATACAGTATTATCCATAAGAGCAGTTTTGACAATAACCACAACAGACACAGTTCTACAATCTGCTTACAGAAACAGTCATCTGGGCCAGTGGACCACACAAGCACTGATCAAACTTATAAGAATAATCCTAATGGAATCTACATGAAGCAGTCTGTAACCCACACTGTTGAGGGTACAAAAATTCAACTTTTATTTTAAAAGAGCATTATAATTTGATTGAGGATTTATTCATATGAGATTCATGTTTTACTAACTTGGGATTACAATATAATTAATTAAAAAACAGATTAAATAGAACAATACCAATTAAATAATACTAAACACAGAAATTAAAAATATATATGGAAGACATTTGTAACATTTGAAACCCATTAAAGTGAAAGATAAACTTGTTTATTATGATAGAAACTACTGTTATGTGTATGAAGAATTGTTTAATTTATGAAGAAATAAACACATACCCCCAGCCCTTCCCCTTACACCAGCCTTGACTGTTTTCTGAGGTGAAAATAAACAAGCTGCCTGTACCTCACATAAACCCCCCCCACCTTTCCACCAACCTCACACGGTTTTCTGTGAGGTTAAACGAAACAAGCTACCCGTACCTTACATAAAACCTAACTTAATGCCATAACTCACTGTAAGAGCCTTCACCTACTATTACCCATACCAAGAAAATAACGTACCATTAATGAAGGACTGATTACCAATACGTACACGATTGTTAATACTTCGATGCAGCTTATTACTTTCTCTTGTGTTGAGTTTTCCCTTCCTTTCCTGTTTGATATATGATTATTTATGTATTTAGTTACTCATTATACTACTGTTTAGTTACAGTCACTATTAAGTTCAGTATTCAGTGGAATTAGTTATCCATTACGGATGGTAACTATTGATGAGATTAGGTTAGATTGGGATCTGTTAGGACTGGGGACCATTTAATAATTAACTTGATTAGAGATTAGGTTAGCTTGGGGTCTATTAGAACTGGGGTCTAATAGGGCATTGGATCATTTAAAAAAAAATCACCTGATATGGCATGAAATAAACACTGTTGTTATTGTTGTTATTATTGTGGCCTCGTATGATTATATCTGATGAAGACAAGTTATTTCCCAGTGTACAGTCAGCCAGATACGTTCGCAAAGACCCGACAAGTATCGAGTAAGGTGATCGTTCTGGTAAAAATGTAAAGTTAAGAGGTGGCGAGGCGTTGTAAGAAGGAAAGAGAGGGGGGGTAGGGGAGGTCTTGTTTGAGTGAGTGTGTGGGTATAGTGTGTTTGGAAGTGAGGTTTTTACACCATTACCAGACCCACTTATCGTCCTAACCCTATACTGTATATATACTGTACTTGTTGGGTCTCTGGGGAGGTGATGGACTTGGTAAAAGCATTCAAGTAAGATAAGACCAAAATGAAACGGATATAGAAAAAAGTATTATGAAAAAATTAAGAAATAATGAAAACTTTATTTTAATACACACACATATACACACCAGATGATACAGATATTGTATATAATTCCCAGCAGGTTAAGATGTAATGGAGTTGGAGTATCTTATGGGCGACTTACGATACAATGAAACTACAGTAGTACCTTGTTATGACACTAGTTGTTCCTGCGCTGATGATAACTTATGAATGATAATTACCTATTATGTTATATGCTTGCACTGTACTGTAGTGGTGAAAAATATTGCAAGAACCTAATGTACACTGATGCAAATGTGTACTACTGTATGTGTTAGTGTAATACATGTATTACAAAAAGTTAGGAATTAATGCTGGTAAGAACTATAACAAAATATGATATACACTACAGTAAATGTGTACTTTATTACAAAGTACTTTATTACAGTGTGAAGCAATACTTGATGATTATTGTACAGTACAGTACAGTACAGTATATGGTAAACTGCTTTTGTTGGCATTGGTTCATTTGCCATTATTTTACTTACATATTTATATATTAATAATTTAATATAATTTCTTTATATATTAATACCAATTTAATAGCTTCCTTATATATTATGTATGTCACAGCATGTGCATCTTATAATTAAGCAAATAACAACAAAAATGTAATCTATTAATGCCCTTCCCTCCTGAAGCAGCAGTACTGTACATGTTAATGAATCACTAACGTCTCTAATACAGTATACTGTAATATAATAATGGCTGCCCCTTACGTCCAAGGATGGTCACCAAGACATGAATTTGTCTAAGGTGTAGAAGTTAATGAGCTGCATAAACCAGTGTCAAGGAAGAGTCCAAGAAGACCGGACAACTCGCCAACTGCACTGGCTAACCATTACCCCGGAACACGATCCGCAAATCAATTAACTTCTAGGTGTCCATAGTCTCACCCTGCCCGGGGATTGAACCCGGGTTCACTCAGTTGTGAGGTAAGCATGCTGACCATTACACCACAGGTCGCCATGTACTGGTACTTATTGATGCGCGTGTCAGTGAGTTGTTAATACAGTAAGTTAAAACAGAAGTTCAAAACAAAATATATTTAATTTTTCTTATCTTAACATTATACCTAAAATTATTAACCACTTATATGGCTAATGCCAGACAATTTTTATTTAGCTCGGGGAGGACCTCGTACACAAGGGGTTAAAGTAATCGTCCGTGAGTTTATTAGAATTTTGAAATATAAAATTTAAAAAAAATATATACTGTATATATATATATACTTTTTTTTTTTGGCTTTTCAGGAGTCATTTCACCCTTTGTGTTTACGTAAACACAAGAAACTGTTCCCTCACTGCTATAATACCCACCATAGTCTGAGGTGACAAGAGCAGGTCCACCTCGCACTCCTTCACAATATCAAACCTGCCCCCCCCCCCCACTACCTCCTAAAATCACTTACTGTATATCATTGTAAATCTCAAAAAATGTCACTCTACAACTTAATATATAAAAAAATTAAGTGAGTGACCTATCAAACATATCCAGTGATCCAGTGAGTGACCTATCAAACAAATCCAGTGAGTGACCTATCAAACATATCCAGTGAGTGACCTATCAAACATATCCAGTGAGTGACCTATCAAACATATCCAGTGAGGGACCTATCAAACATATCCAGTGAGTGACCTATTAAACAAATCCAGGGAGTGACTTATCAAACATATCCAGTGAGTGACCTATTTCATATATCCAGTGAGTAACCTATTGCATGTATCCAGTGAGTGCCCTATTGCATGTATCCAGTGAGTGACCTACTGCATATATCCAGTGAGTGCCCTATTGCATATATCCAGTGAGTGCCCTATTGCATGTATCCAGTGAGTGACCTCCTGCATATATCCAGTGAGTGACCTATCAAACATTCCTATTTAGCATACCCACTGCCAAGCATCACCTCACCAATGATATTATCCACACCGAGAGCTAAGCAGTATTGCCACGTTCAGTACAGTGTGTCTACCATCAAGCATTGCATTTGTCCTGGGTACTCAAAGAGACACATTAAGTTGAGATTATAGGGAATAATTCACAGCATCTATAATTATCATACACAACATAATGTACCATACAGCAACAAATCCAATCCTGTGTTTTGTTTGGTTTGTTTGTTTGTTTGATTTTTAATTCCAGGAGGAAAAATTATTCTTACTGTATGTAGGTACTGGTCAAAAAATACGGACAATTTGTCATTAGTAAATAATATTGTGCAACACACAATATATATACATTCCTTTTTGAGATTTTCATAATATTTCAAACTTATATTTCCATACAACCAACTGTAACATACACTATACTATACCCTGCTGCTACCTTGCATATTCTTACAGTTACTGACTTTTGGGTTAAACTAAACACGATAATTCAGATGGAAGTAAATCACCATCAGACTCGTAATAAACATGAAAGTATTACAGTCATGACAATAGAGTAATGACAAATTTGTAGACTTCAGAGCCATGAAATAGTGAAGTAATTTTGTTTTACTAAAATTACAGACAACTTCTGCTCTCTTCATACCGTACATTTGTCCATCAGTAAGACAATAGCTTCCCACAAAACAAGAGTCCACCCAATGAAAAATTTGACAAAATCATAAGAATATAAGTCATTAAGCAGGACTACACTGTGCCTGTTGCCCACCTTTAAGAAACTGCCAGTCAGAAAGTCATTTGAAGCCACAAGTAACAAGAAGAAGACTGGTCACAGTTATACCTCACCTGTGTTTGTTCAGACTAACCTGATGATAAACTATAACATCAACAACACGTCCAATGCTGGAGAAGCTATATATGCATAAATGGAACACAAGGAATATTAAATATCCACTGACGATGACTGCCATCCCTACAGTTAACTTCCACTGATGATGGCTCATGTTAAAGGGTCAAGCCAAATTCCTCTTAGGAGTTGCGTAGCTACAGAGCTCTGGACACAACACAGTCAATAATAATAACCAGCAGACTTGCCTTACTCCTGCTTCAGATTAGTATTATTAGCTTCAAGTATAGAGTAATTCCTCTATATAAAGTTAACTCACCCAGAAAATGTTATGGCACTTGAGTAAGTGTGTTACTAAGTAAAGTTATTCAAGCACAGAGTGGATCAATTACATAATCATATAACAAGAGCTGGATTGCCCTAAATCCCCTTCCTCCTCCTGCATCATATATGAAGACAAAGACACAGAAGAAGGACTCTGCAATATTAACTCTTGTTATCCAAACCAACTATGAGACTTTTGTTTTTATTTTCTGATTTACCATAAAACGCTAGAATTTTCTGTTGAGTCTCGGAAAAAAAACTGGAGGAGAGAGATTCACAATAATTTCATTACAAAAGGAATTAATTTCTTACACTAATATCTTCATAAATAAAACAACTACACAACACTTAAGTTATAATGTACACTCCGACGAGACTAAAATATTATTGCAAGGGATTTCTTGACGAGGCATAATCATAAAAATCTACCCACAGCTGAGGTATGATTAATAATTATCAATATTAAGAGCTTGTATTTTTTTGTTGCCATATTGTGTACTAAAAAAATCCTCTCACTACAATTAACCAGTCATGTAACACCTCCTGTGTATCTACCAAAGGTTCACATGAGACACAAGATGAAGGACTAGATAAATACATAACCAGGAAGAATATGATACAGTACTTGGGCTAAAACATACAAACATAGGTTTGATATATGTATAGCTAACTTATCACAAAGTTTCCTTGAATGACTAATATTCCATTCAGGAGTTTCTCACTACCACAAGACTTCAACTTGACATTTCAATGATGACCGACAGAATTGAAGAAGTACAGTCCACCTTCACTGGTACATTTACAGGGGCTCATTATATAAACATTCCAATCTTTACATTAAGACACTTATTTTAAAATTGTTTTACTTTGAATCCATAATATGTTTACTATTGCGAGTTTCCTTCCGTCTAATGTAAACAAACATAGAGCTGCCACACTACACAAAACCTGACGAGTCCCTGTAAATGCACTAGTGAAGGGGACTTTACTTGATTGGTAAAATGACCTTCAATACTTCAAATTGAAAACAAACTTGAAAAGCAATACAGTGGGGTATGCTATAACGAATCTAATTGGTTCTAGAACCTTGTTCGTTATAGCATTTGTTCGTTATAGGATTAATCCGTTCCAGGCCCCCAAATACAACCACTTAACACTGAAAAATATAATATAAAATTGTAAAAATTGTAAAAAAGTGCATACATATGCATCTAAACCCCTGAAATAAAGAATATCATTAATACTTGTAATAAAAAAACAATAAATTAGTATAAAAAAAAAAAATTTAAATAATGTTCGTTGTAGGAGTTTCGTTCGTTATAGCATTCTCAATTTTATAGGTAAAACCGTTCGTTATAGGAATATTCGTAGTAGGATCCGTTCGTTATAGCATACCCCACTGTAGAAGCTCCGATTAAGACAAAATATATATTACTACATCTCCTCTATGCTAAAAGTGGTTGATAAAGTCTCATTCAGTATTCTGAAATAAGTTCAAAAAGCTTATTTCAGAAATTATCTCTTGACGGTGAGCTGATGGGAAGGTTCTACAATGCTGATTTTAACAAACTTTTTCAATAAACATTTTTGGATAAACAAATTACAATACATTGAAATAAAATTTTGGTATTTCAAGAGATAAACTAGAGCGTCTATGTCGTATACTTGTGTTGCCAAGATGAGACAGAAATCTTTCAGAAGCTCAAGAACTGTACCTTGTTTAGCCACAGGCAGCATTACCTCTATTAGCCCATGCACAGTACAGTACATCAAGGTAAACCAATAAAAAATTATTATGTCCAACTTGAACCTTGAGTAGATACAACATACATGTATTAATCAGATCAAAGTTGTGAAAATGACAATCATAATTCACACAACAGATAACACAGAGAAGGCAGATCTTATTACGAGTACTGTATACAGTACTGTACTGTGTCTCCCAAGATGGAAACATTCGTTTACAGTTAAAATATTAAACATACAATAATTATAAGAAAAGAGAAAGGTTACTGGACCACACAGATGATGCACCAACACCTAATACAGTATGAGAATAGTTAGTTAACACTGGAAGTCTTAACCATTAACCGGCAGCCGAGGACCCCCCCCCTCCCCGTGCATAAAAATGGAATGCAAGGAACATGAAACTTTCTCTGGTGATGGCTGTCGTCCCTACAGCCAACTTCCACTAATGATGGGTGCTGTTTAAAGCTTAAGACCAGCAAATAACACGTATAATACACATCAAAATCCTACACACCTAAAACATTTAAAAACAAATTAAGATGAAAAATTATGACCAACAATCAATTAATAGTAATAAATGTTTTGACAGAAGATACAGACACTGAACTGCTCCTCCAGCAGTGTGTGAGGTGTACGACAGTTTCCTCAAGGCGCTGGCCATGTATATCAAGTCTATGGAGTCGTATCACCTTTACTTCCCCTTCATTAATTACAGTAACCTATTCGTGCATCTCCTCTATCTGCTTCATCATTAAGAAAGTTCCCTCCAATAAGGCTGCTTTATATTTACTCTCAGCTGTCACCTTGACCTAACATCTAGCTACCATCTCAAACCTAACCTCCTAAAGCCATTAATGCTAGAAAGAAACACCAATTACTACACTTCTACACATTATCTATAAAATACTCTCATATTTCTTCAAATCTACAAATCACTTACATTACATCTGATAGAAAACTTCCCCCTATTCAAATACATTGATGCCTTAAGCCTAGAGACAGTACAGTATACTGTATGAGTAAAGCTTAGTACAGGTTGTATATGAGTCAACATT